ATCGTCCGCCCCCAGCCACTTATGAAAGTGGGACCCTCCGACGTTTCCGTCTGGGTCGCACGGAGGCCATCCGCTCATGCAGTGCGCATTCAGTAGCTTTCACCAAAGCGATGGCAAACGACGTAAGCTCTTCTTGCAGGTTGTAGCATACGATAGCAGGTCGCCAGAACGGCACATGTCTGAGTACCAATTTTCTCCGTCTGCCTAGCTCCGCTATTGCCAGAAATTGACCCTCCTAAAAGCCATTTATTCGTGTAAGCTCGCAGCATTTTTAAAACACCTTTGGCCATTATAGCTAGTTTAGTCCAAATATGAGAAACTCAATGTTCTCTCTTATGATATCTTAGCTCAGGATGTCGGAGCATTCACGGTACTCAAGCCTTGTCCTTTCTCTCTGGGGTCTTAATGCTCCAGAGTCCGCCGATTTTCTCTCAATAAGATAGTAAATTAAACAATGTAGGTTTTTGTTTTTTAAAGGCATTGAGCAAGAATCGTTATAGCTCTCTTGTTTGTCATTGGAACCTTTGGCATTGTAAAATGTATCTAAAAAGACTCGATTCCCTTTAGACTATCAGTTCCTCCGAAAAATGCGCATTACTTCGAAAAGCGATTGAGCAGCATCAGCTTTACACCAAAATGACGGCTACCGGACATGGGTTCGATCGCCACCTTCTAGGACTTCGGCTCATTGCTGCTGATTCCGGCGATCCTACGCCAAGTATTTTTGCTGATCCAACATACGAAAATGCAAACCACTTCTCCCTCACCACCAGCCAGGTAAAAATCCTGTTCGCCTACCCTGTACATTGAAGTATTCTGATTTAACCATTTGAGTTATTTTTTCTATGTAGATAACTGGTAAGCAAGATTTTGGCGCCAGCTTCGATCCCCTCATCCCAGACGGATATGGATTTACCTACAATTTGCAGGGTCACTATATGAACCTAACGGCCAGCACCTTCAAATCAAAAACTTCGGACAACGCTGCAGTGAATCTCATTAACGCTTTTGCCGCTAGCCTCTTAGATATGCGAAAACTTCTCGAGGGTTCAGTGGAGGTTGACATCAACGAAAAGTGAAGTTTCAATGCTGTTTTCAGGAAATATCTTCTATGTACTTGCTCAGTCTTTTTCTTAGGACCGCCGCTCAGGTTTTTGGCAAAACCGGCCCCATTTGAGTGCACGGTGACCCATACCTTCTTTCTGGCCCCCGCACCATCTTTTGTTTGCATGCTACGTACTTTTATATCTCGACATGTTGAGATTTTTATTAACCTTTTCTGCTATTTTACTAATCACTCTGTCTTCCATTTTGACACCAACAATATTTGTGTGTTAACGTCCAGATTGCTAGGAAAAACTCGAATTGTCGAAGGAAAAGTTTACATTAAATGGTGTTGTAATGGCTTCCCAAAGCTGGATTTGTGCCGCCCAGGAACCCGTCTATTGTTTCCCTCCACGGGGACTATATGATATGATGCGACCAATCAGATTGTGCCCTCATGCGCCTAGAGGCTTGATTGGCCATCACGCGCGCCCATTCGCGCACGCCTTTGTCCTAGCCGGCTTGTGTGACCTCGAGGCGCGCGCACGCTCTTTGTCTGTGGGTGGACCGATAACGTGGCCAACGTG